AATTCTTAATCCTGCGTGATAAATGGTGTAAGATCAACATTTAATAGGAGTGTTTGTTTCACAAAGATATCTGCTATTCAACAAACTTCTGATCAAACACACCCCAGCTGCCAGAACTGTGTTGTCTAACAGCCGCTCACCACTACAGATTATTATTTGGAGTCCGCTGCTAACTAGATACTTGATTATCATTAGAAACATTTTGGTAGTCTCAATGTTTACATTGGAAAAAAAAATTGAGAAAATATTACAATCGAGAGAATAATTGGTAGATAGAACTTTATTTTATTCTTAAAGTCACAAACTAAATGCGACACTTTTATTTAGATATGTACAATATTTACGTATAATACGAAAAGGCACTGCAATACGAAAAAGGCACATGTTGTTTCATAACATCTGTACAATTAATAGATTTATTTCATATTAAAATATTCTGATAACGCTAACTGTATGGCCTTTATATAAAAAGAACCAACTTCAATTTTAAAGAAGTTGTTGGTCCACGCACGTGTAGTGTTTTTGGGAGAGCCTTTGCTACAAAACTTGATCAGGAGGCATTAAAGTGTCACTGATCTTGCAAATTCTGGAAATTGGTCTCTGCTAGTAGCAATCAAGCTATCAGCCTTCAGGCACATTACTTTTTTACTTTGCTATTGATTCGTTTCATATAAAAGCCAACGAATTCGACCATATCTAAAATATTTTCTTTCCATTCACACATTTGAACATTTGAAGAAGAATGAGAGAGTACAAAGCATAACCTTGACATTCTATCACTTTATAGGAGGTGAATGTTGTTCAGAACCAGCAGTGCTCAACCTACTTTATGCTGAGAACCCGCGAGACTCAACAAAACAAAGGCACGAGTAATGCTACTCGCGATCTGTTGTATTTTAAAGTTTTATAGGTAAAAGACAATCGTCTCTTTTGTGAGTACCGCATCTAATTTTGAAATTCATGAAAATGTGGTAAAGAATAACAAGAAATTAACTACTGCCGTCTCCCATAATCGTTTTCTCCTCAGCGCAGTCTTCTTCCCCAGCTGCAGATAGCAGCACTTGTTTACGCTTGTGAACTAGGAAGATTGATTGAATAATTGGTTGATTAAAAATTCCGGACGCGTCAAATACTAAGATCATTAGTTCCGTAAGTGTAGTGCATGTTTTCTCCTGGATGGTAGAATCAGCCGCCGACCTACAGTCGGGTTTTGAAGCACCACCGACCTACAGTCGGGTAGCAAGGTTTTCCCCTACCAGGAATCTTCAACCAGCGGGGCAAACCCCAGCCGGGACATGCTCTAAGCTCCCGACCGGTCTCCTGGCACATGTGATATTGTACTGCATATAAGTGTGTGTGTAAGTATGGGGCGAGAATAGAACAAGGAAGAGGAATAAAATATTGAGCGCGATCCGTGGCCCGTTTGATAGGATACTGCTCGGACATTCGCCTGTTACTGATCGAAAAAATCACGGTAAACTACGTAAACTATGCAGCCGGCCTCTAGAACTCCCCTCCAGACAGCGTCTTAATTCGACCTAGCTAGTGTAGTAAATCTTGCCACCGTCGGGACACCAACCCTAGGACCTCGTGGTTAGAGGTTTCGCCGTGACATCAAATGATACCCTGAGACACCTAAGCCGCCCCAGACGAGGAAGAGATTAGCAGGACTCAGAGTGATTACAATTGTCAGGTTGCAGATTAAACAGGTTGGAATATGGTCTTCATGTGTCAACAAAACCATACTATCGCTACCTCCCGAAACAGTAAGATTTGCAATTGTTTTATGAGGCCAGATGCAAAAAACGCTTTTCTAAAAACCTGTTTAAGCTCGAAGGAGGACTGAATGAATCTTACTAGTGATGCTATGAATCGCAGGCCCCATTTCAAGGAATATAATGCGAAAACCTTGTCTCTTCTATTGTAAATGCAAGAGTAAGAAAGGAATGATTATTGATTTAAATTTCATTGTATAATTTTGATTGAATGATTTCTACGTTTAACCTGGGATATACCCTGAGGCAGGGTCAAGGGGATCATGGTCTTTCCTAAAAATGTGCAGAATTAAAATAATTATATTTTAGTTAGAATACACACCGAATTCCAGAAATAATTTCGTGCTCCCCTGAGTTCGACGTGGGACTGGTGCAAGAATCTACTTGAGTCTTTCATGAATGGAAACTTTACGTTGTTTCTTCCTCCGCCCCTCCCCCCAAAAAAAACTCTGCTCGGGATGCAGTCGAGCAGTGCCTTTCGAGGTAGGCAAAAATGAAAGAGGATTTACTCGAAAGCGGGTGTGAAGGAAACCATGGCAGTATTCAATCGGGGGATTGCGAGGCCTTTCCCCTTCACCCTTTAATATCTTTCGTGGTAATGTACATAAATAACAGTTTCGTTTTTTGTAGAAAAACAATAATTATTTTCATTGGACGATGAAATTTTCGAAGCACCCTTCGTATTAAAATAGGTTGAGCACCTCTGTTATAAATAAATTGATAATCTCATTTTAGCCTTAATTAACTAGACGATAGTACAACAAAAATGTTACATATTTTGTTTCAAAAGTTGAAACAAAAATTGAGTGTATTTGTTTAAAAGAGAAATGACATTGTTTAAAATGTACAAAATAGTAAATGCAGCATAAAAACTAATTTGTTTTAACATGTATTGTTAGTCGTATAAAATGTAATTTATTTCTCACAAATCTATAGAAATATAGTTTTAAAATATAATCTTAGTGTGGTAATGAAAAAAGTAAAAACTATTTTTAGTGTTACTTTCTTGTTTGGTTTATATGTTATTTTATTAAGACGTAATTGTAAATATCAGCTCGAAGATAGTTAAGATTTTAAATTGAATATTGTTTATTTGTTTACGCAGTTTAAAAAAATAAATGCCAGTTCTATTTTAGTCAGCTTCTTTCCATTATAATTTTCATCAATTTTTTATAAATGTTTAAGAATATTCTCAATAGTTGATAACAATAATTCAGGTAAGGCATACTGATATATTCATAAAATATATTATCATTTTGAAAAGTATTTGAAAATTCTGATGGAATATAAATTGTTCATTGTTAAAATTTGAGTGATCAATATCACATGATGTGGTCCCGTGATATAATACTAACATGAGCATGCTTTAAAAATGATTACTTTTGAAACATATTTATAAATGATGTGGTGTGAATGATGTATTCAAAGTAAATTTGCATTTATCTCAAAATTTAGAAAATGATTATGTTTATAGTTTATACTCGAAAAAGTTACTTTACGTATTTTTAATTGAATTCAATTATGCCTTTTTGTCGGGCCGAGGATCAGGCGATGAGGCCTGCTCTTCCGCATGAGCACACAAATTCTGCTACGCTCCTTTCACCATCTAGCAGAGAAAGGAAGTATTACACGCGAAACAAAACTAGCGAATTTTGTTCAGAGGCTTCTTTTAGGCTTTATACGCAGTAAATCTACAATGTGGGACAGACGGATTTACTTCCCATCGGAAGGAATAGCGTATGCTGGAGTTTTTCGCCCCTTAAAAATCCATGGGTTCGCTCAGGTTTGAACCCGCAAATTTGGTTATTCCAATCCTACACGCTAGCTGTAACACCAGCGAAGCCGCCTGGCTGTTTTGTACAAATCAGAAAAGAAAATCCGCAGTATGTATTAAGACAAGAAATACCTCTTTGAATTGAAAACTTGAATGAGAATGAGACTGATGGTAGCTTCTTGGCTGTCCAGAAAAACGCCGCGTCCTGGACACAGGTACCAACGCTTCGGCCGCCGTTCTGTGACCTTCCTCAGGGCGAAATGCGGCCGCGGCGTCTCCTGATCAGCCAAGTAGCTGCTGACTCCGACCGAGGGAGCCTACGCTCCTCTTCAAATTCATATCAACTAGGCTGTCTGGGAGGCGCCGCGTCCTGGGCACAGGTACCAACGCTTGGGCCGCCGTTGTGCGACCTTCCTCAGGCCGCCTCCTCCTCGAGCACGGCGGAGGCGAGGCTGGCGCGGCGGCGGTCGCGCTCGCGCTCCAGGTGCAGGCTGTCCGACACCTTGCTGAGGCGCCGCCCCCACCAGCCGCGCCCCGTCGTCGCCGTGGAGCTCGCCTCGCGCAGCGCCGCCAGCGCGTCGCGCTTGCCGCCCGCGCCGCGCGCCCCGGCCCCGCCCCCGCCGCCCGCCGCCGCCGCCGCCTCCTCGCGCCGCAGCCCGCTCTCGTACTTGGCCTCCTTCTCCAGCAGCTTCTCGCGCTGGATCTGCGTGCGCACCTCGCTCGGCACGTCCGGGATGGCGTACGCCATCACGCCCGTCAGCGCGAACACGATGTGCTGCGCACACACAACGGTCGTTAGCGCTCCCACGCTTGGTTAGTGCGCCAACGATTGGTTCATGAGTCCCGTCCATGTTGGGCGTGTTTTGTATCGCTGGAGGTGCCCTTCCTCCGCTCGAATTCAAGATCCAGCGCCGACATACATGTCAGCTTGCGGATTTTCCCTCAACCAGGTATCTCTCAAAAGCAAGGCTCCGCCCCTGCCGGGACAAGCTCTAAGCTTCCGGCTGGTCTCTCGGCATGTGTGGTAGAATAGTGCATGCAAGTGTAAGGGTAAGTAAGGGATGAGGTTAGGACAAGGAAGAGGAAGGAAATATCGCGCGCGGTACGTGCCCTCTTTGTTAGGGTACTGCTTTGATATTTTCTTGGTGTTAATGGGAGAAACAAGGTAAAACTACCGATCTGATCAGCCGGCCGCTAGAATTCCCCTCCAGACAGCAACTGGATTCGACCTAGCTATCTAGCTAGTTTCGAAAAGCCTGCTGCCATCAGGACGGGAACTCTAGGATCTCCTGGTCACACGGACTCCAATGATATCAAATGATGCACTAAGCCACCAAAGCCGTGGGCGACCACTTCTGAGAAAAGCCCTCTGGTAAACTTACTTCAAAGACCACGACGAAGGCGAGTCGAGCAGCGAACACGTGCCAGTACTGCGGACTCAGAGCGTACCAGTCCTCCTCCAGAGGCTCCCTGAAGCTCTTGCGGTACCCGCGGTACTGGCACGAGTCGGGGTCCTTGGTCCCGTTCTTGTTCTTTGCGCCCATGTCCTGGCCGTAATGGGAAGTGTTGAAGTCTGCAAAAATCGTTCCAATGAGGAATGTTCAAAAACGAAACATGGCTTTAACTAAAATGCTGTGTCTCAGGATAAATGTCATAGACTTCTAGGGCTTGTAAAGGGATCGAATGTGAACACTTTTTGCTAAGGAATCTGTGCCCCTCGCATGCTTCCGCACAATGCGAGCTACGAAGTGTTTGGTATCGTCTAGTCATTAATTGAACAATGGATGGAAACAGTGAAATGAATTGAATCTTAATACAACTTCAAAAATTCGCGGCGGTGAAAATGAAACGTTAGGTATTGTAATGTATTGTAAACGTTAGGTGTACGATAGACGTGAGCTTTGCAAATCTCCCCTTTCACCGCCTCTCCCGCTTAAGAATTTTTCTCTCGTCCTCTGAGGTCGCAAATACGTAATTTATGACTGGGAAATTTAAGAAAACTGCGAAAGGATGGGAGAAGGATTTGGACGCGGGATGGAGGAAGGTTTTGTTACAGCGATTAACGCATGCCTAAATCCTGAAGTTTTCGCATAATCAGAGAAAAAATCTTATTTTCGTAAACGCACGCCCCACGTACATTTACCGCGCCATTCAGCGATTTCACCGTGCTTGAGCTAAGCTAATCCATAATCCCAATTCCTAATAATGACTAAACGGACAATTTCATTGGATGTGGAGGGCAGAGTATTAAGTTCGCTCGTTCATTAGACAAGAAATAAATATTGATGATTGGATGACGCTAATACAAAAATAAATGCGTTTCTTAATAGTAAATTAGATATCCCTAATGAAACGGAATAACACCCTTAAATCAATCGTGTAAGTTCGCAATGTATTTTTTATATGAATACTTGCACATTACAAATTAGAAATGTGCAAATGTGTGTTATGGCCTTGGGTTTTGCTTGAAGGACTTACCCGAAAGCGACGAATCAATGTATCCTACCAAGTCAGAGTTATTGGAATACCCGAACTTGTAGACCATCCGCGGGATGAAGTCACTCGTATAACCAATTACAAACGCCTGAAAAAAAAGATTTATTCAGAGGAGGACACAGTGGTACATCTTATTAGCACTCAACAACAAGGGTGCTGTCCGGTCGATTTAAATATTTTTAAACACGAAGGAACAATGGTCGGGGTTTCGTACTAGATGAACAATCTCAACATACAAATATATTAATTGTGCAGTCGAAATACATTGTTCTTATCGGGAATGTAGTCCTGCAAAAATCAATTTCTTCGAAACTCGCCATGTCAACATAAAAACACAATTCAAATATTGCTAATTTATGAAAATATGAAGCTATAAATCTATTGTAAGATTCAAATACAAATTTTTAACAATATGCAAAAATAAGGAAGTTACAATAAATAACTTCATTACACTAAAATTGCAGTACTAGAGTTTTTTGATACGTTTGAACATTCATCCAAGATTAATTCTTATTCACAATTCAATACGCTATTGCTTCAAATTTCAATACGCTATTGCTGAGGAGCTTCCTCGAAGTCCAGATTTGATAAAAAAGATGTGTAGACGAGTTTATTTCTATGATATTCTTTATTAGGGACAATCATGTGTTTTGGAAAAATGACTTATTTAATCACTTGTAACCATTTATAAATAGTATTAAACAAAGTGAATAAATACCTAAATCTTCCACTATATAATTAAAGGAAAAATGGATAAAATATATGAAACTGACAATCGTATAAAATCATCTTACATTTAATCACTCTTAGTTCGAATTTCTTTACGACCAGTGCAAAAAGTCCCACAAAACCCTTGGTCTAAATTTCGCGACCATTCTTTTTCATTCGTCTAAATAAAAACTAGTGATTATACAATAAAACACATTTACTCGCAGTATTTGTCACTTTTGGAATTTCAAAAAATCATGCATTTATCTGCATGCCTTTTAAAAAACAACAATTTTTCTGTATTAGGGGTCCCCAAAACGAGTATTTCCGTTGAAATCTCGAAAGCGATATTAGGCAGCATTATAAAAACTTTCTCTACAATACACTTAGTACTCTGAATATACGTATGTATACAATTTAACGTCGTCGAGTTTTAACTCATCTGATAGTTCTTTTTTTGTGAGCTACCCCACCAGAGAGTGTGAGAATTGAGCGGTGGGTAGGGATCTTAACTTAAATAATATACTAATGCGCACGAGACAGTAGTAATAATTCAAGGAATGCATCACACGTACAGTACCTAGCTAATCGGGAATAAATTATTTCGCACGTGCGCACATTTTTACGAAACAACCCTAACTCTAAATGTGGCAACAGGGACGATACAAAGCTAAAAAAAAAATGCAGAGAAAAGCTGGACTGACGTTTGAGACGACGGCGAGGTAGGTGACGCCCTGCAGGATGCCGAACCAGGCGCCGATGTCCTCCACGCGCTCGGCCAGCGGGCGGCGCGCCTGCGTCAGCATCTTGTAGGCGTCCAGGCGGATCTCGCCCACGTTGTTGATGAGCGCGAACAGCGGCGCCAGCGGGAACGCGGCCACGAACAGCGTCACGAAGCCATACTGCAGCACTGCGCACACAGCAACGCACGGCGTCACACAGCACGGCCCCACTGGGTACACACGGCCGCCAGGCGACACAACATTGACCTCAAGGCGATGCACAGTGTTGCCCAACACATCATGGACCAAAAGTCAACGCACATCACAGCGCAATACACAGCATGACGCACATGGCAACACAGGACATGGACCTCATGGCAACATTACCCTCATTGCAACAAACGTAATGGCCCATAAAGCGACACTACGTGGCCTGCAAAGCGATAAACAACATCGCCCTTATGGCAACACACAACATAGCCCAATGGCATTGGACACAATGCTCCAACATGGCAACACACAGCTTCGTTCTCAAAGCCACAGCCAGCACTGCCCAAATAGCAGCACACATGACTCACATGGCAACAAACAACACGACCCTCATTGCAACACAGCATATCCGACATAGCAAGACATAAAATGGACTTATTTATAACGCACGTGACCCTCCACACAACATGGACCACGTGGAACCTCACAACATGGATTGATTGATTGGATGTTTAGTGATTCCGGGTACATCAACTACTAGGGTCATTAGTCAGGTAAGTGTAATGCATGTGTTTTGCTAGGAAGGTGGCAGTGATCTTCCCCCCGCTGTTTGGCGCGATCTGGTACCGATCTACCGTCAGCTAGCGGGGTTTTCCCCAACCAGGTATCTGGAGGGGTAGGGGAGGGTAAGAGGAAGGGGAGATCGTGGCCCGTTGGTTAGCCTGCGTTCTGGCATTCGCCAGGTGTTGATCGGAGAAACCACGGAAAAATACCGATCAGCGCAGCCGGTCGCTAGAATTATCCTTTAGAGAGCGACTGAATTCGACCTAGCTATCTAGCTAGTGTCGAAAATCCTGCCACCGACCGGTGTAGAATCTAGAACCTCCCGGTCATAGGGACTGCACTGACATCAGTTGATGCCCTAGCCATCTCTCCCAGTCACAACATGGACCTAACAATGTCAGGCAACAAACACTAATGACAACACTCAAAAGGGCTCAAATTGCAACGCAATTGGCCGATACCTCTACACACAAGACTCACATGTAACTCACAAGGTCCTCAAGACAACACAATTTTGCCCATGTGCCAACATGACTCACATCGAAACACTCAACATGGCGCTCATTGCATCTCAAACGTGCCTCTCATGGCAACATGGCCATACTTGCCACACAAAAGTGGACCAGATAACAACACACATAGCTCACATGACACCTAAAAGGGCTCAAATGACAATACAGTTGGCCAATACATTTACACACAATATGGTACACATGCAACACACAACATTGCACAGTTGGCAACAAACAAGGTTATCTCACAATACATTGCACGTGAATAAACAAAGCCCTCATGGCAACACACAACATAGTGCACAAGATGGGCAACACAACAACAGAGCGTCGCACTTATTACGATCCACAGCAAGGCTCACATTTCAACACACAACAAAGTCCACATGGCAACACAGCAAAGCCTAAATGGCACTCGATACTGCCCTCTCATGACAACAGACAGCACAGCTCGCATTACAACATATGACATGTTCCTCTGCATATGATTCATGGCAACGCACATGGTCGTCAACAAACATGCGACAAACTGCACGGTTTACAAAGCAACATACAGAATGGCTCATATGGCAGCACACACCTCGCACGGTAAAACAGAGTTGACCTCATGGCAACAGGGCCAACATGTAACACAATTTTGCTCTCTCGGAAACAGCCAGCACTACTCACATTGCAACACACAATAAGGCGGGCATGGCTACACATATCAAAACACAGCATAACCCACGTGGCAACACACAAGATTCGCATAGTAACACACAACATGGCCCACAAGGCGACACAGAGCACCCCCCCTCTTGGTCATATACAGATAGTCTCACATTTCCCAATAGCTGACAAAGAATAGAGCCACTTGGCAGCATACATAATGGCCCAATAGGCAACACAAAATGGACTTCTTAGCTACACTCATCACGGCCCAAATCGTTACCCTTACGGCCACCCTTATGGCCACAAACATCATGGCCCTCCTTGCAATGCAGCAAAGCCTTCATAGACATACTGGGCTTCTTAGCAATACAAATGTCCCACATGTCCCCACACAACATGGACAACATGCCAATTCACAACATGGCTCACTCCAAGAGGCCCTAATGACAACACACACACACACACACACACACACACACACACACACACTGGCTCAAATGGCAACACACTCTGCCGACACATCTACGCACAATGGGAGCTCACATGCAATACTCAACATTGCCCACGTGGCAACACGCAAGGCCCTCATGACAACACAATTTGGCTCATGTGCCAATATGACTTACATGGCATCATACTACATGTCCCACATGATAACATACATGCCCCTCATTGCAACTCAACATGGCTCACATGGCAACAAACAACATAGCGCTCTCATTGCATCTCAGACATGGCAGTATTGGCAACACACATAGCTCACATGACAGCAAACGCTACCTAACGGCATTAAGTAATATGGTCCACATCACAACGCACAAGAAATCCTCCATGGCATTACGCGCGTGGCTGTCGCTTCGGAAGTGAATGATCCTTGCGGAAGCGGCCGCGCTGGGAATCCGTCTCTCCTCGGGAGGATCTCGGCGAGCGCCTCGCAGCGACTTCACCACAGGCCCTCCATTTCGCTATTGCGTAGGAGTACTATAATTATCATTGTATCCCGCTTCAACTTCTTGTTTAAATATTAAACATATTTTCAGTAAGTGTTTTGATAATCTTTGATGGTGTGCTTGCTCTTAACAAGAGGATAACTTTTTTGGATAATAATTTCCAGTAGCGAAAGCTTTTGCCTGGCGCACTGGCGCTGGCGATGGATTGTGACTTACATTTGAGCCTAGGCCACGCTTTTGTACGGACGTCTCAGAATAAATGTTACAAACTTCTAGGGGATATTCAGGGGTCGATGATCATCAGTGTTCATGAAATGATTATTTATCTTGATGGGTGTGTACTAGTGATCATTTAAAACGGAAATGCAAAGAAAACACTGTGGTGATACGAATGAATATGTCTGACGACTGATATTGTGAACGATCCCAACTTGCAACTTATAATGAATTGTACTAAAATGTGATGAATTCCACTCGTCGGAAGGTATGTTATCAGCATTCATGCATGAAAACTTGTAATTTCTTTCACAGTTCATTGATCTAAAAGTGTTACTTTTAGGGACGCTTAGGGCTTTGCTGCAGGGGTTGCACTAAGAATGAATAGCCTTATGAAACAACTTGCCACTACAAAGGAAAGAAAACTGGACCAACGTGAACTAACATGGCTGATGCCTTGTTTATTGAGAATGTGTATTCGTATCTCTAAGATTCCGTGAATTTTATCTTAAAAAAGGTCCGTAACTTACATAAAAGTGTCACTGGCGTATGTTTCAAAAATTCATCTTATTCGTATGGCAAGGTTTCACGTTTTGTCTAGTTACGGAAATAGGGATATTTTAGCGGTATGCGTAAGGAGACATGCTTATAGTCTTGATCACGTGAGTAGCGATTTCATACGGTCGTAAGGAACAATTTTCAAAAGAGTTTTAGTAACTCTGTCATTGCATTAAGCATTACAACAAAAGAAGCATTTTAAGCGTTGAACAAAGACGTTACGTAATATATCAAAGAGGTAGGTAAATGGTGAGACATTTCAATCGCGATGATAGTCAAGAGTGAAGGCCCTTTCACAATGCAAACATAAACATTAACATGGCATTCACTACGTTCATAAGCGGTCTCATTCACAATCCATTCGCATAAGCATAACACGTAAGACGATAACTTAAAAGATTGCAAGCTTCAAGCTTCGAGCTTTTGTGCTTGTGTTTAAGTAAGAGATAAGAAATCAACCAATCACAGTACGTTAATTCAAAATAGAGAATCGAAGTAGGATCGAAGTCGATAGACGAACCAACGCTATGTATCATGGGCCATGGACACAATCCATACCATGAAATCGGTTCTCATATTCAACCCAAAGTAAAGTGGAATGTCTCACAGACAATAGAAACTCATATTTTGCTTACGTTAATGTTAGGACGTAGTGAATACTTCAGTATATCACTTATGTTAATGTTTACGTCTATATGCGTGATGCTTATGATTACGTTTGCATTATGAATGAGCCTTAAAACAAACATTGATAATTACAGGAGGTTTAGATTTTCTGATTCTGCGGGAGGACTGTGCAGTTTGGAAGTTTGAATAGATTTTTCTTAAGAAAAATGGAATATTCAAGAACATTATTTATGATCATAAGACATAACCTAACCCAAAGTTATGATTTTAACTCCTTTTTTGCGTATTTCTTACCTCTCACCTTCCCAACACTTTCCGTTAATTCTTGCCAGAGTTGAAGAGTTGGTAAAGAATAATCGTAACTGTCTCACATACGAGAATTAGTTTAGCAGAGTTTGAAAAATACAATCTTTGCTGTTTGTAGGCGGCCATTTCAACATTCGTAAGGTGTCCGTAAAAAGTCCTATAGGCTTGCAATACTTATGAAAGTATCAGTGCACAACACCGCTGCGCTAAAACTGCCTATTCCGCATGAGCGTCTGCCGTCGGGAGGCCGTGTGCGCCGGGGCGGAAAGGGGGGGGGCACGCACCCATCTCCAGGTACTCCTCGAAGAGCGCGAGGCGGCCGCCGTCCTCCAGGTGGTAGTCCTCCTCCCAGCGCGTGTACTTGCGCTGCAGGTCCTGCGTCTTGGAGCGGTGCGTGCGCAGCCGCCACCAGTTGCGCAGCTTCCTGCGGACAACCGCCCACGCACTCGCCGTCAGTCACTGCTGATGCCCGGCGCGCCCACTGCTAAGGTCATTAGTGCCGCGAGTGCTCGTTTTTGTGTCGGTGATCGCTCCCCGCAGGATGGAGAGTACCGGTGCCAACCTACACGTCGGCTAACAGGGTTTTCTCCAAACAGGTATCTCCTATCAGCCCCAGCAGGGACACACTTTAAACCTCCCAACTAATCTCGCTACATGTGGGGCAGTGTAGTGAATGTAAGAATATGTAAGGGGTCAGGATAGAACAAGCAAGAGGAAGGGAAGATCGCGTGTGGTCCGTGGCCCGTTTGTAAGAGTACTGCTCCCGCATTCGCCTAGTATTGATCGGAGACACCATGGAAAACTACCATTCAGAGTAGCCGTCTCGTCCAGACATCGGCTGAATTCGACCTAGCTATCTCCCTTCTTCGAGCTCTCTCGAGGAATCTCCACCCCTGCCACTCATATTGTGCAAGGCACCACACACGCTCTTGTCGTTTCCCGACACAGAGCTGCGGTGTGAAACCTCGCGTCCTTGAAAGCGTACCCCGCGGCGTAACGCGATGAACAACCCGGTTCTCTCTGTACAATCAGAGATTCTATATGGACGCGTACAATGTTTTCAGTTCGCGTATTGCTTTAGAGGAATAAATGCATTTTCAAGAGCGACCGGTGCTTCTTATTTTGTCATAATCGGATTTCCATAATGCTTACATTTGTATATTATTATATCGCGTCTTCCTTATTTTTTTATTTTTTAAATTTATTTATCGATTTTGAAAGTTCTCAATTCTCTCTCGTATAATATTTTATTGTTATAGAATGGGTACACGATTGCATAATAATCTGTCACGAACTGCAACGAGAACATGGTTTGCCTGCCTCTGCATTCCCAGGAAGGAGTTGAAGGGAAGAAGTCGAGGAGGGCAGACGGCGGGGGGAGCCTCAAACACTAAACGCATACTCACGGGAAAAGGATTTCCAGAAAATTGTTGAAGAACTGCTTGCCCACCATGATGATGGCCAGCTGAATGCACAGCTCCGACAAGCAGCCGGCAGGGTCGCACACGTCCGTTTTGATTCGCAGGAACTCCGTTTTGCGCGCTTCTTTGTCTCCCGGGTGTTTGAAAAAGCGCCCCTATTGAGACAGGAAGCAAGGAAGAGCAAATGACATTATTTCGAGAATTGTGAACAATATTTAAACACAAATTAAAGTAGAAGGAACAGATATATTCGTGAGATAGTGTCAGAGGTACTAATGTGAAGGAATCACACTTTTTTTTGCAAAAATAAACATTGCACAATCACTTACTTTCACACATTGAGTCATGAATAATTAAATATTTTTATAATTAAAGGAAAGCAATGCAATATATAAAGTTTTCTGTCGATTTTTATTAATTATATAAAGAGAAAGAAGCAATGTCTGTCGAAAGAGAAAAGACGAGCGATGTAGAAAAAATATTGTATGTAATTTGAGGAAGTTACTTCACGGAGCGTAGTAAAGCAATTTCGCTATCGGCGCCGGCGCTGAGAGTGAGATCAAGTTTAACATCTGAAGGTTTTTTTAATTGGAAGAATTAGCCCAATCATTTAATCCAAATTTATCGCGTTCTCTATTACTACTAACAGCTGCAGAGTGGGTTCGCCATTTTATTTTTGTATTTGAAAGGGGATGTCTTCGAGAAAAATGTTTGGAACCACTGCCCTTTAGAATTACTTTAGACAACTTTTCGACTATATTCGCAAATTACGCAAACTTTCTCCAAACGTCCATAAAACACTGCCTCTGAGGCCAAAATAGATAAGGATATTACGAAAAAATGATGGTATTTACTTTTTCCTAGCTAATTAACTCATCCTTTGTTTCTGATGATATGGGCAAGTGTCGATTACACGAAACTTTGCCGTCCGTTATCACATTGGCTTTCGGGCATCGACATCGGGCATAATACTATCACACTCCAATTGAACTTCTAGGAGCCCTTCACGTGGCGTCTTTCAGCAGCACATCCGAGTGGTGCGTCTGCTGGGCAAAGCATTGGATTAACAGGAGGCGACATAGTCGACACACGGGCGGTGGAGTCACGCTGCTGTGGCGCTCAGCGGCGAAATCCCGCCTACACCAGCGCAGACGCGTGTCCGCGCCAACCCCAGCAGAACAACGTCCTATATGGCAGCCTTCACACTACACTAGTCGGACGCGCCGCCGGTTTTTTCCTGCTGGCTGCTTGGCGACCGGCGGAGTCCACAACGGTGTGTCTCACGAAATCTTCCTCTGTCGCGGTCAGTGGCGGTCGGTGCTGGCTGCTTGTGAAGGGCTCTGCCGCTTCTCGTGGCGCCACCCAGTGGCTCCGTGCTAAGGCAGCCTTATGCAACCGTTAAACAGCGCCTTCTGGTAATTACCTACCAAAGCCCCCCCCCTCCACCCTTCCGCTGGCCACAGGGCCTTTTCAACTCGCACGAAGCTAAGGTTCAAGAAAAGGAAGGGCTCAGTAGTACAGGGGGCTATCCCAATTTTTTGGTAAAATTGAGTTGTTAGCATCATACAAAACTTAAAATATTATTCTTTTAGCGTTATATGTTATTCAAATCAACCAGGGACTTACATGCAAGTGTACTGTATTTAAATGTTTAAAAATGTATTTGCCTACATGATGGAACTTCAGGTAAAACCCTCGTTATCTCTGAACTACAAAGTGTGAAATAGCCCCTTGTTCTACTGAGCTCTTCAATTAAGGCTTACGTTAAACTTACTTTAAAGAATGCTATGTAGATCAAGGAAGAATAAAAGTTAACGAACTGGAACACAAATATCTTGAATGTGTAACTATCTTCGTACTCGGTTTGCGTCCGAGGGTTTTCCAGATTTGTTAAATACAAAGCTAATCTTTTGTACAACTGAAAATAATAAATGCTAAATTATTGTATTAAATAGCATATCAAGGAGTTATGTTTCCAAATAAAATCATACATTTTCATATTTTACTTGAGCAACGAGCTTACATTTGTGAGGATCATGATAATCACAAGATTGATGATAGCTGCAGTTACTGAGGTAAATATTTTCGCTTTTTCAATCAGAAATTGATCTTGACTACTACCAATTACAGTAACCAGTGATATTCGATACACGATGGTCCCCAGAACTGCACCCATGACTACCATAACCTGTAAAAGAAGATAATAAGTTGTGTGCAGTTAAAATAAACATGATTATTGATAAGGGTAAAGAAATTTAAACAGTATTAATTGAAAATGGGTTAGAGAAACCTCACCATAAAGAGGACCATTGATGTCGTTGCAAGAAGTCTCCAAGCTTTACTCCACGCAGGTAAATACGGTTCTTTCTCGCGAGTCACAGGATTGATTCTGAACGTTTTCACCGACATTTCGAACTCCGGTCTCGGTTCCTCGTCTTCCTCCGTGTTCTGAAGATCCCACTCCCAAACAATGACCGCCTGGCGCCGCTTCCACAGCTCCAGGAATGTCGTGGCTTCAAACGGACAGAGCAACACAGATAGTTTTCATCTACCTACATAGTACATGTAGAGTACTTGTGATACAAGATTCTAAAACCGTAGTTTGACTTAACGCGCTGAAGATTCATGTAATATTTGGAAAAACTCTTGTTCTCTATTTTTAGGCTAATACAGACTTGGAATATTGTGCACATATCTTGCAATGATTTTTAATTATTAGTTGAACAATAATATTGAAAATATTTATGAATGACACATTTCATATAATTTCTATTTATTAAAATATCACAATAAATTAATAAAATCAATTGTCAGTAAGGTCAAATATATAAAAATAGTAATATTAATGGGAATATTGGCTCACATATATTAACGTACCCCAAAAAGACATAAATATTGCAAAAAATACTGTTGCTGGATTGTCGAAGAGATAAGTGAGTTTGGCGAAGACGCACGAATTGCCCAGGAGGACGTAGTCACACGCTTTGTCACACAACGGGCAAAGAATTATTTTTCCTGGCCCCGACATATTACAAATTTCCTTGCTGTCAACAAATCACAAAAAATCGGAAAAGGTATATTGTATTCCAAAAACTTATGTCTAAACAGGTGTATTTTACTAACTTTGCCTATTTATTAAGTATAATGCAGGATTTAATCCCATTAATATTATCACATATCTTCATATTCATTAAAATAACATTTATGGTTGCTAAATTACAGTTTGAAAATTAATTTGCTTGATTAATGTTATAACTACTAAAGTATTTAACATTTATTAGATGTTATTAGATACAAATGTATTATAGTTATTTATATACATTACCTTGGCATATTAGCATCTGTGTCGATAGTGCAGAGGCCGTAGAAAAAGCATAATACACCAACTATTGCAGCAGGAATCAACATTTTGGTGTAAAAGCCCAGCCAAGCAAAATAGAGTCCGATTTTGTCTCCAAAATACTTCTTAACAAGCCAAAGTGGCTGCTTTTTGTACCAACATGATAACTGGCCCCATTCCAAGTATAATAGCTAAAAAATCAAACGTTTTGAAAAACAATTACATTTCGTGTATAGTTTGTTTAGCAGTTCAAAAAATGTTTTTCTGTCATTGCGATACTGCGCTTGTAATGACAAATCGAAATGAGAAAGAGAAAGAGAGAGAGAGGGGGAGAGAAGAGGGGAGAGAGAGGGGAGAGAGAGGAGGGAGAGGAGAGGGGAGAAGAGAGGGGGAGAGAGAGGGGGAGAGAGAACGGGGGAGAGAGGAGGGGAGAGAGGGAGAGCAGGGGAGAGAGAGGAGAGCGCGGGAGAACGAGGGAGAGAGAGGGACGAGAGCGGGAGAGAGAGGGAGAGAGAGGGGAAGAGAGGAGGGTTGCCGGAGAGGAGGGAGAGAGAGGGAGAGAGGAGGAGGAGAGGGAGAGAGAGGAGAGGGAGAGGGAGAGAGGAGGAGAGAGAGAGGGAGAGGAGAGAGGGAGAGAGAGGGGGAGAGAGAGGGGAGAGAGAGAGGGGAGAGAGGGAGAGATAGGGAGAGAGAGGGAGAGCAGAGAGGGAGAGAGAGGGAGAGAGGAGAGGGAGAGAGCGGGGGGAGAGATGGAGTGAGAGAGAGGGGGAGGAGGGGAGAGAGGAGGGCGAGAGAGGGGGGAGAGGGAGAGGGAGAAGGGAAAAGAGAGAGAAGAGAAAGAGAGAGAGAGAAAGAGAAACAGAGAGAGAGGGAGAAGAGAGGGGAGAGAGGGGGAGAGAGAGAAAGAGAGAGAGAAAGATAGAGAGAAAGAGAGGAGAAAGAGGGAAAGAGAGAGAGAGAGAGGGAGAGAGAGGGGGAAGGGAGGAGAGAGAGAAACGAGAGAGATGTGTGTCGTGCGCGGCGCAGAGTCGACTCACGCGCCGGTCGAAGACGTAGCCGCTGTTGGAGTCCGCGTCGTAGCGGCCCTCGTGCAGCGGGAAGGCGCCCAGGAAGGTGCGGTCGTTGAGCAGCCTCCGCACGCCCACCTGCACACGCCAGCGCCCGCCCGCCCTCACGCCACCGCTCGCGCTCGCACCCCCCGCTCACGCCCTTGCTGAGGACCCGGCACACGATCGCGTCCTCGCTAATGCCTTCGCCCACTCTCTCACCAACGCCTTCGTTCACGTCACCACTCGCGCTCACGTCCCTGCACACGCCCTTGAGCTCGTCCTCCCGCACGCCCTCATTTACATCCTCCAACTCATGCTCACACCCACCGCTCACGCTCTCGCTCACGTCCTTCCTTACATCCTCCCCCTTGACGCCCCCACTCACGCTCTCGATCACGTTACAACTCACTTCATCGTTCACGCTCCGCTCAAACCTTTGGTTAGCCTTGCTGTGGTGGATTTTTGACAGAAGAAGAATTTGGTCGTTATGACTTGTAATTATCTAGATCCATATAATGGGAAATACCTATTGATTGAATTGTTGTAATCAACTTGACGATATTTAATTTACAAATAATTAATTGTTACATTATAATGTTTTCAAACACAAGGTTGAATAGCCATTTAAGGTCGAGTAGAAAATATATTAACATTACTCACGAAATAAATAGAAAATCATAAATAATATTGACATCCTGCCATAGAGATGGAAGAAATTACTTGAACGACTTTCAACCCTTAAACGAGTTAAAGAATTGGAAGACTACGTCTCACTTCAGAATAAATAGGCAGAAGTGCTCTATTACTCGTATTGCAGTAAAAAACTTTCTTCAACTGGAGAGCGTATAAACCTATTCCCCAGTCAATTGGTCATCCGTCTATAAGCGATGATAATAACTCTGGTATCATTGGGAAACCATAATAATCGGCGACGAGAATGGGAGAAATAATTTCAGCGCGGTTCCATGCAGCCTTAGCTATTCTTGCGAAGTACCTTGCCACTCTCGTCGAACTTCGCTCTCAAAAGCACCTGCCACACGACGAGACTCCGCTGCGAAGACGTGTAGAACAGCTCTCGATCCTTCACGAGAAACCTGCGGCAGAGAGGAGATTGTTGCCGGAATTCGTTCTTTAAAACTTACACATTATAAAGAGGGTGGCCAAGGAATTAGGACTGATTAGTTAATTACATGAAATACGCTTTTGATACATGATACATTACACACGTTTATCAACTTTATAAGAGCATTTACGTTATTATTTTATTATCATTACTAACGTTGCTACACATTACTAACTTAAATATAATAACATTGCTTTCCCAAAATGTTCGCTCAATTCGGGCAAGAACGAAAGTGACACAGATGATAACGAGAATAGCACAGACTCTCTCGTACAATTTAGTTTCCTTATATTTTAAGTCTGCGCTAGCTTCTGGATTTCGCCACTTCTCAGTCGCAATCTGTTGAAGCCTAAAATGCATTTTTCACGTTTGCTCAATTTTCATCCGTATCCCTGATAGTAGAATTGAAATATTACTTTAAGAAAATTATAGAATGGTAAAACTAGGTTATTTATGCATATTTTCATTGAAAGATGTGAAGCCGTTTTTAGAAAAATACAGTTTTATTCTGACAATGTCATGACATTTCCACAGCAAACATTCGATTTTTTGAGAAACTGTTGAAAACATTGCATTGATTTAGCAGTAAATGAAACAAGCATAAATTCTTTTGCGAAATACAAGGAACAAGTTAAGCAAAATTGACTATTTTATGCAGTTTAGTTGACATTGTATTTGTATTTAAATTATACTACTATTTTTTGGCATGTTTCATTTCGCCATATTTTCTGATTTATTGGCCACTCATTATTTGCTATTAGGGTGGAACTTCGATAATATACAGTACATTATATCTCGAAATTCTGTTCATTTTCCTTCGCCTTCTAGAAATACACCCTATATATTTAATGTTCTTGATATTATAGTAGAAAAATCTTCAATTCCCTATTTTTGGTGTTTTGCGGGAGTGTCGTTGCCCCCTGTAGTGCTGAAGCGAGTGTAAATTGCATTTTCGCTTTTGCACTAAGGACCTGAAGGGCGCTCTCAGTTGCCGATGAGAGACTCACTAGTGAAGGTACTTTCCCCTCTTTTCTCCTTTGCCAGGGATTTGCAGCGTTACAAGATTGGAAAATGATCGCACACTATTGTGTTTAAGTCAGTGGAGCATATTTAAATAAGAGACACGCCATAAAACTATTCTCTCACTCTAATCTAATCTTCTTTTCATCCTCTTATTTATGTTTTACTTTTACACACTGGTATTTGTGAAAATCGCAACGGTCAGTTTCACTAAAAAATTGGTGGATACGTAGAATAGTGTATCCATAAGAAGTGGTTAAATTTGCTTAAAGCGGGCGTACACGTTGGTCTAGCTGCGCCTTCCTTTGTATGACAGGTAAGGTCAGTGTTAAGCCACACTCAGGCGGTGTAGAGCCGTCAAACGTCGTGGAATAATGTAAGCAAGTGCCGGCATGCCTCTTCGAGGCCAAAGGATGTAATATCAGCATGTAAATGAGATTTGAAACGGGGCACATTGATCGGTCTTTGGGAAGTGAGTTTGTTGTACCGTAACATTGCGGCTCCAATGGGTCGCGCTGCTTAAACAGTGTTGGGTGTGTGAAATCATTAGGCTAGATAAGGATCATACACAGCAACGAGCGGTACGCAATGTGACAACAGAGCGAGATGACCGCCATCTTGACCGCATGACTGCAACCGACAGAACGTCGTCGCCCACAGTGTTGGCTCGACTTTGGAGCACTGCAACAGGTGTGGTCATGTCTGCGTCGACGGTTCCACGTTGTCTGCTGAGGGCTGGACTGGTGGCACGCTCAAAACTTCGTCAGATTCCGTTGCGCACAAACCACCTCAGACAGCAATGGCCGCGTGAACGTGTTCACTGGTGTGCTGAGTGGCAAAATGTGTTTTCGGATGAGTCGCGCTTCAATTTGAGATAACGCGATGGCCGGGTACATGTCCGACGCTACCTTAGTGATCTCAACATGTAAACTTGCATTGTTCCTCACCATAGCGGCCAAACGCCAAGTGAGATGTTTGGGACGCCATTGGCTACATTGTGCGATCTTGCCTCATACGTATTGACAGCAATCTGTACAGTAACCGCTACGTCAGGGAGGTTTTAGAGCCCGAGGTACTTCCCCTCCGTCAAGAAGCTCCACATACCATATTGCAGCAGGACAATGCCCGACCACATGTGACGAGAAATGTGCAACGTTTCAGCGAAGAACCGCTTCCAGGGTCTGCACGTTCGCCTGACATGTCGCCCATCTAACAGGTCTGGATATGATCAGTCGGCCACTTGTTCTGGTCCCCCTGTAGCCACTGTCGATGCTTTGTGGTCACGTATAGAAACAGGATGGCTGTGTGTTTCTAGCAGCATATGAAGGTTCTCTTTGAATCCACGCCACGACGTCTAGAGACTCTGATGGCAGCGTGTGGCGCCTTCACACCGTACTAAATACTTATGGTCAAAATGCAGGTATAGTTCTGTAATTATAATCATTTGTATATTGTGTTATTCCCAAACTGTGGAATACATTTCATTGCAATTGTATGTCTCCTTCTTCGTATTGCAATTTTCACAAACACCAGTGTATTTGTAGATTCCATGTAAATTTTATCTCTCGTATTTTTCCGCCTGCTTCCCCTTCAGATGCACGTTATCGAAGTTCCACTGTTTTTCCTTACCTGTCGTCGTTATCAATTGTGAAACCGTCGGTGTAAAACGACGGTTCGTGAGCTATTCTGCTCTGGTTATACTCAAACATTTTACGGAAATTGAACGGAAACCAAACTTTTTCCGTTCCATCGTCAGTAGCAACTCCTCCCTGTGGACAAAAGTAAACACTTTTGTGCATATTAAGATTCTCTTGAGAATACGTTCCAGATTTATATGCAATGCCCCCTTTTCAGATTTATCTATATCAGAGACATTTCAAAATTATAAACAAATTTTAATCAAGGTATTTGATTTCGAAACTAAATTTTATCAGGAAATGTTTGCACATTTTTAAATTTAGATAACATTTTCCTACACCTCTCCTATCGCCCTGCCTCTCACACACTACCCATCCTCTTCGTTTCGAATGCAGACGAAACTTTTAGGCTACGCATCTACTTCTAGTCGTTTGCAACGCTAACATGTTGAAGGATGCTTATACAGTTGTCCCGGAATGAGTGTTACCCACCTCTAATGCACGTAAAGAGGTCGAAAACGATAAATTTTCGTCGATGAACATGTAGATGGATATTTTATATAATGGAGTAACACGCAGTTATCCAAGGCGCATTTGTCCCTGTCTGTTGGGCAACCACGTATGAGCAGATGTTCCCCGGGTAGGATGAAATCTGCTTGACCAAGTCAGAACGTGCCCTGCCGAACATATGTCCATAAGGAGTGTCTAATAATCTGGAGGAAATGTCACATGTCGCTTTCTTCGTAATTCTGTTGTAACAAAAAAACTTTTGTATAGGAAATTTTAGAATTTTTACTTTCCTTTACTATTACAGTTTTAATTTCCCCGCAACTTCATTTATTTATCATCAATCGACGATATTCAAATGTTTAAAAGATATATTTCGTTTTTTTATGAAATTGGTTTTATAATACTCTCAATTTTTAGACAGTATTCCTTAAAAATTCTCTTAAATGGCGATCTTTATCCGTGAATGCCATCTGCATGCATCTGCCAACAAGGCGCAAGTGGTATAATGTCAGAGATACGGCTTATTCGACAAAAAATATTTGTTAAACTTATTTTACTTAAAATCTCAATTTTTGATTTTTTGTGTTACAACAGAATTCCTGAAAAGCGACGTTACATAATTTGGTGGTATGATTTTTTACTGCATGTTAATTGGCAAAAACGTATCATTTTCGACTCTTCTACAAACCCTAGAACTAAAACGTGTATTAATAAAATATTTGTTCCGATGAATTCAATTATTATAGATTAAGATTCACAATGATTACTTACAAAGGGCGCTCTGGCAACGGGGTGATGAACTTTCT